GCCTTACTAGATGTAAAGGAATTATCACAAGAAGCAGCCTTACTAGATGTAAAGGAATTATCACAAGAATTTAAACTCTGTACCTATCTATGAAAAATCAGAAATGCAATTACTTTCCTTTAAATGCTAAATGTAAAAGGTTAAACAAAGAGTGTTAAGAATTTTCTTATGTTCTCTATCTAACAGCCTATTGCCAACAAGACTGTGAATGGAAAACAGCTGAGTTAATTTAACCATCATCTGCATATCTCTGGATGCAAAGAATACCTACTCTATAGGCCTGATTGAATGTGATCTAATCTATGACAGTCATTTGCCTAACATCACCTCTGTTCCTTGGAATACTGCTTTTAGGATTGATGCCGACTACTGAAAGACTTCCAAAGGCTTATAGCGTTCAGGAGGCAATGTTCAAATTCTGTCTCTTTAAATTCTGGACTATAGCTTACATCATGTGGAACAAGCATTAGGCAATGGTAACATTCCCGATTAGTGTTTTCCTTATTCCCCCCACCCCAAGACAAAGAATCAACTATGAGACTGGGAGCCTGTTCTTGAGAGCAACTGCCAGAACTTCTTGGCATTCCCTACTATGCAATGTAGTATAAAGCAAGCCAGCTGGAATGAACTCTTAAAGAAAGGGGCAGTTCAGATCTTTTAAACCAATATACAGTACCACTAAGAAAATCTTAGATTTCCAGAATGTTTGCTTAGAAAGACTACCTGCAGTATCCTCAGCAATAACAACATCACAGTCTCTGTGCTAACAGGAGATAGGCTTTGACATGTGTACATCTAGAACTCTGCCATCAGTAGTGGCCAGGGCTGGATGCTTTTGTGTTGTCCATAAAAGATAACACTGAAAAGCAAAATGTAGTTTCTTGTCTCTGTTTGAAGGAAGGACTGAACTTGGAGACCAATTTTTCTAGTGGAGAGGAAATTGCCACACCCACAGCTCATACTCTTTCTAGTCTAACTATTTACTGCACAGGCTTTTTCTCCTCCCCCTTCTTGTGGCTTGTACTTTAGTGTGGAGACTGGTACAAAAGCCATCACTTCCTCCTTTTCCAGAGTCAAAGGCAGCGGCTGTTGCTGCAGTAGCATCATATGATGCAGTCCTTAGTTAGTGTAACACAGTGGTCCTCAGCCTTTTTATTGCTGTGGACCGGTCAACGTTTGATAATTTTTCCGCGGCCCACTTAGCAATACGGTTAACCACCAAATATGATGCTCTCAGTGCATTCACATTTATTGACGTGATGGCCCTCAGAAATGTCTTCTGTCCTTCATGTTTCCTTTTTTTTCTTTCAAAATACTCCAGGGGCTTGTCTTTTAGTCCAGGGTATTTGGCGTTCAAGTGGCGAAGCAGTTTTGAAGGTTTCATTGCCTCATTAGAGAGGCGTTTGCCGCAAACTATGCAGAGTGGGGTTGGTGCGTGGGAGTCACCTGTCCCGATAAATCCATATTTCAAGTAGGACTCATGGTATTGTCCGTTAAAAGGTTTATGTTTCTTTGATGTTGAAGGCTCTTCTTCTGTCTCTTCACTGGGTCTTTTCTTTTTCCCAAGAAACTGACGTCTGTTTCTTACTCATTTTTGCTAATTTGTGGGTTAAATTTTA